AAATCTCACGCCACTTTGTCATCCAGTCAGGGTACAGCCTAATCAATCGTGACTTGCTCTCACACGCTTTGCCGCGCTTCATGGCAGCTACACTGTAGATGAACTTGCTTCCACGTTTGACTGGATCGCTGGATTGTCTGTGTGTTTTGCGATTTGCGAGAATAATAACGTTGGTTTTGGCTCTAAAAGAATCAATTGAAAATACCTTAAACGTGACAGGAAACTTTGCTATCAAATCTGTTCACTAAATTAGATTGTCAAAGAGCTCTTGGCATGGAAAGTGGAAGAATCAGTGACGGACAGATAAGTGCTTCTTCACAGTTTGACGCCAACCACGCCGCTAATCAGGGCAGACTACACTTCCAAGCTACTGGAACATTACATGGATCTTGGTCAGCTGTCAGAAATGATGCCAATCCTTGGCTTCAGGTTTTTCTTGGCTCGGATTCCATTTTAATAACAGGTGTAGCAACGCAAGGAAGAAACGGTTATTGCTGCCAATGGGTGACTAAGTATAACTTACAGTACAGTGACGATAATGTGAACTTTCAGTACTACAGAGAACCAGGAGAAAGTATAAAGGTAACCAAAGTAACACTAAAATAAATGACGTTTTATTCTAAGAGTGCAGTTATTTTAAATGCTTATCATCTTTACCTGGGGGGAGGGGGTTACTCCCAGAAAATCTTGTTGTGGGTGTGAGGCCCTCTTCCAAAACCCCTTTACCCTCTGTATGACCAGAATCTGCGATTTTCCCTCACCCTATTTATAACCAGACCAAAAAGTTCGACACCCTACTTGTGACCGTTGCGGCTGACACAGTTGCCCCCAAAATAATTTTTGAAGGGCTTTTGTTTATGGTCTTACCGATAATGATGAAAATTAAAAGTAGCTTCCTCCAAACAGCATAACCAATTTAAGACTAGATTACAAAAGCCATACCCTATCTTAGACTAAAATGGCAAAAAATCGATACCCTATTTTCTGAGCAAAACGGCTGAAAAACCACACCGTTTGGGGCTGCACATACCTATATAACCCATATAAGGGAGTACCCCCACGGCATCTCTATTACTTTGTCTGTGCTACTGCTTTTTGATTCTATCTTGGATATCTTTTAAACATGGTGCTGATGACGCCCGTTATCACTAAAGTGGATAATAATAATAATAATAATAATAATAATAATAATAATAATAATAATATACACTTTAATAATTAACAATCATTATTGTAATTAGTATAGGTAATTTACTGTGCGGGTGAACATGATCTTGATTTACATGAAAACCTGAGAGTTTCGGGCGAAACATGTAGGCGGAAAACATTCCCATATGAATAGTTTTGCGCGAGGACACGTTTTGAAAGAGAATTAAGTGGCAGTCTCTCTAAAAGCGGTC